TTACGTTTATGTATATACTGTATTCTATATATAGTACCAGTCAAATGTTTGGACATACGAATGGGAAAGTGTCCAAACTTTTGACTGGTACTGTACTATAATATACAAAAAGAATATCGGCCGATATATCGGTATCGGCCTTTTTTTTTTTTAAATTCCCTAATATTGGTATCGGCCCCAAAAAAACCATATCGGTCGGGCTCTAGAACTAACCCTTTAATGTTAACTACCTTTTAATCAAAACATAAAACATTATTTACCCCGTTTGTATCTGTGAGGCGTCCGTTACACATTTTCCCTGCGTGTTAACGTAATTATGACTGTCGAATGTCTGACTTGACTCTTGGTAACGTATTTTGCCCCACCCCCAAAACACGATTCGACTATCAGTTGAATATCGGCAAGATTAGAAAATTCCGATTCGACTATGAAAATCCTTAGTCAGGGACACCCCTAGTTTCATCACAAACATGTATACATGCATGCATATAAATACAAATGTACACATTGAATCGCAGATGTGTTCTTAAGCCTGAACATACACTCAGTCTCCTCTTCATATTTATAGCTGCACACAGGGTTAGCCGGGATCAGGGTAGAGAAACTCGGAGGAACAATGTCCACTATCCGCTGATGGTACGACAACCTGCAGGTTCATAATCAAGGCTCAGTGTAATAAACATAACAGCATGCATTAACTGGGTCCAATTAGCAATTATAAAAAGCAATGCAACTGAATAAAAAGCTGTGTGAAACTCAAAACAGAAATGCAGAACATTAATAACTACTGTCATATACATAACGTTATAATGAGAGCACTTTTGTAACAAATTTTTGTGAATTCTTAGGGTTTCGCTGATGTTTAATGTTAACTATAGGTCTATACAGGTTGTGTTCATTGTGTCCAGCCTCATATACATCATTTCTGTGGCTTGAGCAAGCTGAATATCGGCAGATTAAAGAAAACTACAAGAGTAGGGGACAGTTATGTTTACATTTGAGACAGCTGTAGCACAATGTGTAGGAGGAATCACTTAAAAACACAAATTCGCATGGCTTTCAGTCAGAATGAAGGATACAACTTGTGGTAATGAGCCTGGTTGCAGTTTGCAGAGCTCAATGAGTAACGCAGTGTACATGACATCAATGTGAGGAGGACTGGGCAGCTGGAATAACTCACCAAATATCACCTACAGAGCCACAGATATAGCATTACACTGAAATAACATATCTAAGTGCCCATTTACTGCACTAACAGTAGCTAAAATATTTTGCCAAATTATCAAATGGGGTCTGAATACTTTCCGTACCCACTGTATATATAGATATAGATATACACACATATATAAACAATTAAACTGTAATAATAAACAACAATCCCTTCCCTACCTATTACTTTCTCCAATAGTAAACACACTCTATAATGGCAATTAAAAGAATGCAGTTTCATGTTTTTAAAGGATGATGCATTTGTCTTCTGACATCCCATTACAGATCCAGTTAAAAAAATAAGGACTAGATAAGAAACATTACTGCACCTCTGGGGCATCAGTGTAGTCGAACATTCTGAAGACGACATGGGGCATAGGGTAGACAGCGTCATCAGAGTGGGCTGGAGGAGTGAAAGGGGGCAGGTTGTGCTGCAGGGCTTCACACAGCACACTGTCAAACGCAATATAAGGCCGCAGGATGTGACGCTCCTGCCAGCGGTCCTTCTTCAGCTTATGCACCTGAGCCCAGAGACAGTCCAGATACTACAGAGAGACACACAGAGGAAATTAATTACAGTGAAAGAACAGAGCAGCTCTCAACTGGTGGGTGGTAGGTCTGTTCTGATAGGGTCACTGACAAGAAAAAATCAATGCTAAACTGAAAAACTTACCATGTAATAGTGTATAGTTAGGAGAGCAAAATAATTAGGCTTATAAAAGGGATAGTTCACCCAAAAATGAAAATTCTGTCATTTAAACTCAGTCGTTCCAAACTCGCAAGAGTTGAATTCATCTTCAAAACACAAATTCACACAAAAAAACATATTTTTAATAAAACCTGAGAGTTTCCGTCCCTTCATAGATAAAGGCATTGTAAAATTAATCCATGGGAATCAAGCAGTTTAATCCAAGTCTTAAGAGGTACAATCACTTTATAGGAAGTGCAGATATGATTTAGGCTTTTATTTACATATAAAACATATATATATATAAAATTAATCAAATGTGATAAACAAGGATGAGAAAGCACCTTATCATTTGTTAATCCATGGGAATCAAGCAGTTTAATCCAAGTCTTAAGAGGTACAATCACTTTATAGGAAGTGCAGATATGATTTAGGCTTTTATTTACATATAAAACATATATATATATATAAAATGAATCAAATGTGATAAACAAGGATGAGAAAGCACCTTATCATTTGTTTGGTAATGTCAAAGATTGTGCATCTAATCAAACTCTACGGCAGTTGTGCAAATTCATCTGTCACTTTGTAGAAGCTAGTCAAATCAGACGGAAACCAAAATGGACTGGCTGCAGGACTCACCCACCCTCAAAATACATTAATAGAATACATCCCAAACTGCATTAAACACAAGTTATGGGTTTCTATTACTATTGTGTTGCCACTTGCTGTCCGATGTTTTAAAGCAAAACCAGTTGAAAACAACTGTGATTGACATTTTGTTAGTGTTTAAAGGTAAAGTGACAGGCATGGATGAAGCCTGACTCTCACCTCTTCCTGAGGGTGGGGCTTTTCTGCAGTCCACACCTGCAGCATGGAAACATGAGTCTTCTGACGCCGCCTGTAACAAAACCCAGATCATGACATTTCACAGCAGACTCCTCTGTATTCTCTGTCATCTACATGCATAATGCATTTGAGTTGACAAACATCACAATAATCAACATGATAAAATAAATTAGCACACACTATCCGCTAACGGAAGCTAGAGATTAAGGTTTATAATCTTTTAAATATGGATACAGGGGTTAAAGCAAAAAAAATCCTGAGCCTGAACTTTTTTCCAGGGGCGGGGTGGGGCAGCACATGCAAAGCATGCAATGACTGTGGTAACTTTAACATTTGAAAGGATACTATGGCAAAGTTATTGCTTTCTTTATTCAAACGGATTTTTTTTTCATGAATGTATGGTTGACCTGAAGAATGAAAGCTGTATCATACACTTGGAAAATTATGAGCTAAATCACCGCTTATCGACACTAGGGGTGTGACAATACACTTAGCTCACGAGATGAGACAAAATACAGATACTTGGTTCACTAGAACAAGACAATATTTGAATATTATTTTAAAGAAATTTTCAATGACAAAATATTTGTCTTTTAATTACAAAAAGTAAAACAATGCGGTTGTATTTAGAAATATTTTAACTAATCTAGGGCTGTAACTAATGATTATTTTGGTAATCAAGTAATCTACTGATTATTTTGACAACGGAGTAATCTGATATTTTTTAGTAACAAACAGACCTAAGTGAAAACCAGGCTTTAGTATGACTATTTATATATAAACTAACGATGAGGCAATAATAATTGGCTCAAATAAAATATCAAAACCAAGAAATTACAGGATTGTATTGAATAACACTGTTAAAATACATAATGTAATATGCCTATACATAATATGAACATAACCAACTTAAGTACATTATGTATTAAATACAAATACCTAAATACCTTATACTAATAAGCAGAGGGCGCCAATGGCCTGGTGACATTTCACTTTACAGCGTGATTAAACGATGTTTAAATCCATTAAATTTTAATATTTGGCCACACGCAGAAACTTTTATTTTGAAATCGCGATTTACAATATATGGCATATTTAGACATAGTGAAAGTGAAAAAAGTGAAAGTGACGTGACATGTGGCCAAGATTTGTTCTGGCAATCATATCATTTTATGGAGATGACATGATTACTCTGAACTGTTTACAAAGCTCCGCTGCTTTTTAATTAGTTATTCTATGTAAATATGTGCTAGAGGGACATCTTTGACCATTACGCCTAGCAGCTTTTTGTCGCGCTTCTCCATTTATCAGGGCTGCGACTCCGCAATTGGATACTATTATGCACGTCTCGTGTTTATAAGAGCAAAACATTCTGATTGGTTAGTAATGTTAGTTTGGTTGAGCGTGAAAGCTGTGCTCCTCTCATACCATTGGTAGGCGAACTCATGGACTCGAAAGTGATATCAATCAACAAGATTTTTTTTTTTAATGTAGGACTATTTTTTTTCCGCAGCCAAATGCTGCACGCCGGAGATCCGGCACAGTGCTGGAGAACTTTAAGCCCTGTGGAAATTTTCAAACGCATCGATTCACTTCAAGAGGCCTTTATTAACCGCCCCCCGGAGCCGTGTGGGGCATTTTTTATGATGGATGTACGCATTTTATTGGATTTCTATTGGATATGTAATATCAGTACTCCCACTCTCTCTCTTTGCATGTGTGAGAAACACAGTGCTAACAGCAAAGCGACGCTGAGTCGTGCGCCTTCACACTAGAGTTTACGGTACGTCAAATACCGCAGGGATGGCCAGTATTTCAGATACATGTATTTAAAATACGTATTTGAAATACAAAATACTTTTTTATATTTTCTATTTTAAAGCCTTTGAAAAAAAAAAATCTAATGTCATTTGCATTTAAGTACATTTTTCCACACAGTATTTTGTATTTGTATTTTAAATACATTTTCATGTATTTGTGCCCATCTCTGAAATACAGGTACGCTGTGCATCCATTGAGATTAGGGATGTAACGATTAACCGCGAGCCGGTTGAAAATCGTTTTGCTTACATACATCTACACACCTTTCATTTTTTAAGACTAAAACAAAGGATTCATTGTTATTCTTAATCAAAAAGCACAACAACAATAAATGTATACAATGACAAACTAGCTTCCAAAACGTTTATTAACAAAAACGAACAAGATGAGGCATGGCACACACATGCTGTATTATATACCGACTAATAAATTACAGAACGTTTAGCAAACACTGAGGAATCAAATAAATA